TTATTTATATAATTTATTATAGCAAATCGCTTTACAAAATTAATCAGCATACAAAGGTGTTCTATATACAGTAATGTGTTTATCGGCTTGTAAATTAGATGATTTCATAAAAATTTTCTTTAGAGAATCTTCTGAAAGAAAAAGAAACCTAATTAATTTACAGTTCCATGTTCAAAGATGCCCACATCTGAACAAATTAGCTTAGCAGTTGCTTTTTATCATATTATTGGCATTTCCTATATACTTCAAAGGATTTTTGTCTACTTACAATCTCTAATTCATGCAAAAGTTTTTGCCCTTGCAGCATATTGCCCTTTTTATCCTGTTCTGGCTAAAAAAACTGAAAACTTCATAGTCTTCTCCTAGAACAGAACAAAGAACACAGGAATCAATTTCATTTTCTAAAAACAGTCCAAACCCTGAATATTGTGGTTCTTCTGAAAACAGCATCGTGTCCATGATATGCCCTTCCTGGAAGGAAAGAGTATTTTCAGTGAGCTCTTCTTCTTGATAATCTTGTCTTATGAGCTTCCATTAATAGAACTGAGAATAGAAAAATCCCGAAAACCACACAGATGGTCTGGTTGAAGTAATTTATTTACTATTAGCACATTGACTTTATACCTGTGACACTGTGTGCGCAAATGCAAATGAGCACTGCATCTAATTTGGCCTGTGGATTAACAGCGTTCCTCAGCCTTGTGGCGTCCAGATGCATTGGATGGCTAGTGTAAACATGAACAGCTGGAGAGTTTACCTAACACATGGAGATGAGGGCATCCATTTGGTGAAGGCTAATCTAATCACAGAAAGGAGAAAAAAGCTCCTTCCCAGTTGCAGAAATATAATTGGGATGGGTAGAAAGTGTCCTATTAACACCGTCCTGGCCCAGCCTGGCAAATAGACCAAAGCATTTGTAAGGGAACTCAAGTGTTTTTACTTATTCCCCCCCGCCCTCAAAAGTAGCTATAAAAATTGTCTGGGACTCTTTGAACAATGTCTTTGTTCATTTCCAATGTTTATGAACCGATGTATCAGCTGAGGATTTCTATAGGCAACATTGCACTAGTAGGCTACTCACTGTCTCCCAGGGATGAAGACACGTCCTTCATTCTGAAAAGGTCCTACCCTGTTTCTCCAACAATACGGCCTCCCCCAATAGGAAGTCCCAGCATGTTTTATAGGCATGAAATGAAATTAAGCCCCTCCCCCCAAATTAAGGCCTATATTAAAACATGCAAAATGGGGGGGAATGGTGGGGGGGGCTTGCCGTTAGGAAGTACTTTTGTTGCACAGCCGGATATGGTGCTGCCTGCGTTGACCCTGATACGAAGTGCCCACCAATGCCGAGGTCAACATCCAAGCCGTCGCTACCCGCCCGAAGATGCAAGGGGGGGGGGATTAAGTCACCCCCGAAAAGACGGCCTAGCCATTTTTGGGGGGCTCAAAAAAAAATAAGACCCGGCCTTATTATATGAGAAACACGGTAGTATGGATATATATAGTTGTATGAGAGTTGCCCGTGTTTCTTATCCTACAGTAGTGTGGCTGACATTCCTTAAATCTTCCTAGAGGAAACAATCCTCCAGATACTGTTGAATTAAAACTTTTGGAATCCCTTAACAGTGGTGATGATTCTTTTATTTCAGTCTTCCAACCTTGCAACCTTTATCTATCTCCTATTCGATTCCATTAATTCTATTCTGACTGAGACAAATGGCTTTGTTTTCTTCATAGGTATCCATTTATTAACTTGGTGGGGAGAGAAATTAGCTATGAAGTGTTTTAATGAAATAAGACATATATCTTTTGTATAATATTAGTGATAGAGATGAAGATGGAAGTCATGGAGGATTTATTCAGTAATCCAAAACTGAAAAATATGAAGGACCATAAAACAAGAATAGCCAAAAATGGCAGCTTTATAATACCCATTTTAAAGGAACTAGTGAAGAAATAATAAAAGTAAGAGAGTATGAAAATTCATTCATTTGGTCAACTTCTAGGTCAACCAACCCCGAAGTTTCTGGATGGCCTAGAAATTAAATAACATCTACAAACAATGAAGTTAAAGAAAAAGCCAATCATTATTTTCCCACCCACATAGTGCCTAACCCAAGGGGAATAGCCATGTTTTTAATGCTGTTCTAAATATTAATAAGGTGGGAGAGTCATTCTGAATGCTGTTCCAGAAGGCAGGTGATAGATATGACTTTTCTTCAGGGTCCTGCTACCGTAGATTGCTTGACTGATGGGACTAGGAGAGAGGTAACTGTTTCAGATCTTATAGTAAGGGTAGAAAGCATAAGAGTTAACAGGTTCTCAAATAACTATTGTAGACCCCATGTCATATAGTTAAAGATGATAACTAGCAAACATACATGTAGTACCACTATATAAAAAACTGATTAAAAAGGCAAGTGAATAAGGTTGAAGTTATAGCACAAATAAGGTTTTTGCGGTTGTGCTAACTTAAGGGAAGAGATGGGCCAATCATTTTGAAGGTGTTTGGATGAAAATGTTCTTCCTAGTTAATAGTCTTTCCATAGTCATGGAAATAAATATCCTTATATATGTGTTTGTGGAGTGCATCCAGCATGTCTAGTGAATTATTCTGCAAGCACAGTAAGATTAACATCTTATTAAGAAAGAAGCCATAGGAAAATCAATTTGGACTTATGCCTAAAATGGTACAATTAGATCAAGTTATAAGTGATGGATTGAGTGTGTTTTCCCATACCAACCCTCAGGGGCAAAACATTTTTTTTTTTACCCAATTAGTTTTTTGGCACAACTCGCACTATGAAGCTAAAGAAGCAAATGCCAGTTTGGCATAATGATTAAACCATCATTCTAAAAAACTGGAAAACCATATTCTAATACAGGGGTGTCAAACTCAAGGCCTGGGGGCCATATCCGGCCTGGAGGATGCTTAAATTGGCCCATGGGGCAGCCGTGGAAACAGCAAAGGACCGCCCCACAGTGGCCACGGGTGGTCCTCCTGAGCTCCGTTTTCGCTGGCAGAGGCTTGCAGGAGGCTGTTGCAACCAAAAACAGAGCTGAGGAGCCCATTTTCGCTGGCAGAGCACTCAGGCCACCACAAGCACCCCAATACGAGTGAGGTCAAGCTGGCTATGCCCCCTGGCCACGCCCACCTCATCCTGCCTGCCCAGGTCAAGCACAACCCTGTTCTAATCCCATTTAGGCTCAAAGCCATCTCCCTGACCTTGGGCCAGTTAACTCTAGGAAGAAAGCCACTTCTGAAAATCTTGTCAAGAAAACTGCAGAGCCTAATCCAGACAGCTGCCAGGAGTCAACGCTGTCTTGAAGGCAACTCCCACCACCACCACCAAACACAACAAATCCACACAATACAAAATGAAAGGAGTATACAATTCCCAACACCTTTTTTAATAGGTTAGAAGTTATCATTTCTCTCCATGATTTCTGAAAATTGATAGCAATGATTTCTATAAATTTGAGGAGAAAATACATAAGCCCTAAAATAAGTCTTCCATAAATTTAAATAACAAAGAAGCCCAAGTCAATTCCCAGAAAGAATTTAAACATCACAACCCCAACAATTATGTTAAATGTATAGTAATATCCACTTGGCACCATTATTTCCCTCAAAGAGCCAGTTTTGTCTGGTAATTAAGGCACCAAGCAGAAAGCAAGAAATGATAAATTCTAGTTCTGTCTTAGGCATGGAAGCAGGCTGGGTGACTTTGGGCCAGTCATTCATTCTTAGCCCAACTTACCTCACACAGTTTTGGGAGGTGGGGAAAGAGAAGGAAGGAAGGATAGGATACCAATGAAAATGCAAGGATAATGAAAACAACTCTGCATGTACTTAAAAATTACTCTCAAACTTTGACATTCCCTTGGCAAAAAAAATCATGATTGTTTTAATTGTAGTTGTCAACAGATAATTCTATTCTTAAGGGCAACTTTAAATTTTTTTTACATTTTTCACACATAGCAAAAAAAAAAAAAAAAAAGAATGTAAGATATTTCTGGCAGCTATGTGGAAAGAAATAGTGACAATATAAACTCTGCTGCACAGCAGATATAAACACACCCACCAGAAATGAAAGCAGAAACAAAGCCAGCCACTACTGGCTGAATGCATGGAGGCCTGTTGATGACCGAATGGTGAGAGAAAGAGGGCTTACACATATCCCAGCACTCCCCCCACCACCCCAAATGTAATACTTCACCTGGAATACTAGCTGGAATTAAAAACTTGGCAGGTGGATGGCTGGTAGTGCAAAGACCAACCTAGCTTAACCTGAGTCAATTACACCTGCAGGGTGGGGGGGGACTATGAACCCTTTGTTGGTGAAAGTCCAGGAAGCCCGCGCCTAAGTGGTTCTAATGTATGTCTGACTTTTGGCCTTTGCACCCGTGTCCCTGAGGAGAAGGCGGTCATATGGGCAAATATTGTGCGTGTCCGTCCCCTTGTAGCGCTGGGTAGAAAACAGCTGCTTGCTCGGTTTACGCGGCGCATCCACTTGCTGATGAACACCCGAACGCGCACATAGAGACTCGCAGGCAGTGGCCACCACCAGCAGCAGCAGCAGCAGCAGCACCCAAATCCCATTGCAAACAAAGGGAGATGACGGCGGGGCTGCTGGAGAGCTTTCTCGCCTCCTTCGTTTTGCAAGCGGCGACCGCCCGCAGCCTTCCCCTCTCCCTCCCCATAGCTGTCCTCCTCCATCCCGCAGGCGGTGGTAATTCGGGAGCCGGGATTCAGAGCAAGGCGAGAGGGACGTCGCCCGCGAAGGAGAAGAAGTGAGCAAGGCGAAATATTCTCATTTTCTCTCTGTCTCTCTCTCTCTATCTCTCTCACTCACACACACACACATGCGCGCGCGCAGGGACTCTCACAACCAAAACAAACCTCGCCCGCCTTCACCTCGGCGGATACTCAACAGATCATTTGCAAAAAGAATCCGAGAGCAGGAGCAGCAACCGGCGGGGAGGCGGCGGGGGGATTCCGGGCGTCTTTTGTGCTTTCCCCCGCCGGTGTTTATGCTGAACGCGGTCTCGCCGAGTAAGGTAAGCGAGAGAGAGGGAAGGAAAGGGGGGGGGGGACAGAGGATTTCTGCCTTTTGGCAGAGTCTAGAAAGAAAGAAGGCGATGCATGAATCATCTCTGCTTCTTCCTACCCGTTGGATAGTTGACATATGGCTCCAAGTAGCAGCTAAGTGCGGGGAGATGTCTTCAGGTATGGTTTAGGAGCAGGGAGTGTGAGGTTTTTTTCCCCTCTTTTTCTGTCCCTCCCCCTCCTCATTTAATGCCCAGAAAAAGTGTTTTGTTTTGCTTTTTGGGGGGTGGGGGGGGAGGCGGAGAGAGAGTCAGTTCCCATGCCCAGAGAGCTGGTTTGACAGATATCACCTGCCTCTCTGAATGACTGCCGCGGTTGGATTGGGTGATTTCCTGTGTAAGGTGGACCCCTAACAAACGGTGACATGCATAGTGTGGAGGACCTGCTTCCCAACCTGTCAAAAATGGGGAAAATAAGCCCTCGTGGCCATTGAGGATGACATTAAACGTGCTACCTTTTCTTCATCCTGTCGCGGATGTTTCAGGGAGCAGGAAGAGGGGGGTGGAAATATCTCTCTTCTCTTCTTAAGCCAAGGTATGTTAAAGAGAAATAATTTTGTCACATCCCCAAAGGAGTGTTAGATGTATATACAAACTGTGTTGTTGAGTTGTATACTTTTAAGGGATGTCTTCCTTTCAATATTTATTCAGTTGAGCATCTTTTTGCTTAAAACAAAGTTGAAGACTGAGAGTACCACTTGCTATACCTTTGGCCATCTTTATGGTATTTCTTAGATTTATTTCAAGTTGAACTACCCAAAACATTCATCTAAAAAATAAATAGTGCCTTTTAAAGCTCCTTTTGACATTTTAATTTGCTCCCCCAGAATCCAGCTGCTTCTATCCCTACAAATAAAAAGAAGAAGAGAAACTCCTGTTTGCTCCCTTGCCTCTGAAGGCAGCATTAACGCACTCAAGAGGCAGGACTGTCGCTTTGCAAATAAACAGCAATCAAGCTCCTACCTCTAAGAGAAACAGACTTCAGTCAATAATCCTTCCCCATACAGTAATGCAGAAAAGCTGTCGGGGCCAGTTTAATAAGAGAAGAAGAGCAGCAAAGTAGGCTTCTGAAGAGAGAGACCAGCTGGAGACTTGCGAGACTTTGGCTTGTAAGACAGAAGGACTGACTCTGTTCAAGTTTGCCTGCTTTCCCAGAACTCTTAAGTGAGGTTCAAGAAATAAAAGGAGGAAGATCTGTCCTCAGCTTTTCTTCAAAGCACAATCTGAGGTTAGTGTCCCTATCATGGCCATAGGTTTGAGTAATGATCATAAGTGGGTGTGGTAAAAAGCATGTTCTGAACGACCCAGTGAATAGTTTGATCAAAACAGTGAGATACAGCCTAAAGCCAAACCCCCTTTTTAACAAAACACATGCAATTTATCTTTAAAAACCCATTATGCATTTTTAAGCTATTTTATTAAATGTTTTCAATGCGCCAGTCATTCCCTATTCAATGATTATAACAATCTTGCTATACATAAGGATTTAAGCATCTGTAAATGGCTTTTTCTGATAATTGTCAAAACATCTTGCCATTTGCACCAGGAACTGAATGATGCTATAAGCACGTCTACGTTTGTTTGAATATTTAGGTTTAATGGGATGTTCACGATGCCTATTTCTATTACCACTGTTTTTATAAGCTTGATTGGCATCTTGCAGTTCAGCATCTAAAAATGTGAAGTTAAAATATATATATACAAAAATATATTCACTGGGGTACTTATAGTTCAAGTTGCTTGCTTTGTTCTCTGATTTTCAGCTGATAAATTTCATGGTTAGCATGCATTCATTCCTAAAGGAAGAACATTTCATAAACTTTTTTTTAGCTAGAAGCTCCTTGGAATTCTGTACTTCATTTATGTCATTATAATACTTTAGAAATGACTGTACAGTTCACTGTTCAAAATGTAGGACAAAGATTATATTTTCTGAAAAACAGTGAAGAAAGACCTGATATTATTGCTGACCACTCTAGAAAAGATTATCTCCTTATGTATCTACAGTCCTTTTATATCTATAAGATATATTACAGCAGGTACAGAGAAACAAGTAATTAAAGAGTAACATCATAACTTATCAATATATGTATATATGGCAGCTATATTCTGTTGCTGCCTCTTTTTCTTAATATGCATTCCCCATACCTATACTTTGATTTGAAAATTAATTCAGAAGGCTTGACTTGAATCCTTCAGATCTTTGTTTTGATTATTACAGATTCAATAATTACTTCAGAAAGCACATACAAATATTGCTGGAAATTTTAACAAAAGAAATGCAACTGAATTCATACATTTTCAACTATAATGCTTAGTAGTAATCTGACAATAAATACTTATCTCTCTTGTACTATCTGACTCACCCTTATTAAAAAAAAGAAGATTCAGTGCTGTTAAAACTTGTTGCATCAGATGACATAATTATTACAAGCATATTAGTTTGCTTGTGGTATAGCAAAGACAAACAAAATTTCTTCTGGAGTTATACTATCCATATGACTTGCATACAGACCTCACCTGTAATTCAAGGCACCTCACCTATAATTCAAGGGCTGTTCTGGTTATCAATTTGTTTCCAATTCAACATGGTAATGATTATCTTTAAAGTCCTTAAGAGCTTAAGGCCAGAATATCTTAGAAGAATTGCCTTTCCCCATGCTTGCCTTCCTACAATTCAACACAGAACGTTTTTTTATAATCCTGTTGTGAAGTCCTGGCCAATAGTGTCTTTTTCATGGCCGTACCTCAAATATACCAAAGACTATTTAAGAAGGCGTTTGCTTTACTGGAAATGCCTCATTTTAACTTCTGCATCTGCCTACTTCTTACTGCCTATTCTTTACTTTTAAATTCTACTTCTCCCTTCTGATTTAGTTTTATTCTCTTATATTGTAACTTCCCAGAATGTTGTAGAACACAGAAGTTTGCTTGAGGTTTGATGGTTGAGATTTCCTTCCCAACTTTTGCAGCAGCCAACAAAAACCTCCCAAACTTGTTAATAATAGCAATACTATTTAATATGATCAAAGGGGAAAATATTGAATAGATGATTAGAGAATAGTTATATATTTAAATAATTAAGAGTTAAAGGTAGTTTTTTTGTAGCTCCATCCACTAATTTTTGGAAAGGGGCACACCACTCAAAAGCCAAGTCCTGTAAGTCTGGAAAAAGTTGTACTTCACAAATATGAAACTTTGGATTGGTATAAATAAAAAATAATCTCTTGATTTTTTTAAAAAAATGATTTAAATAAATATACATTATACTTTTAAAATATTTATTATTTCTAGTTATATGGCTCCCCATTGCACATTCATGATTCTAGATGGCTAACAACAGTAAGAACTGTATGAATATATAATCATATAAAACCATATAAAAACCTTAAAAACACAAGCAGCAATCTGAATACAAAAACCACCACCACTGATGAATTGCCTTCTAAAAAGCCAGCAAGGTAGAGACTAGTGTAATCTCCAAGGGAATGAAATTCTAAAGGGCGGGTACCACAGCAGAAAATGCTCTCTTCCTAGATCCTAATAGATGGAACCCCAGGCAAGATTCTTCTGACCTAACAAGTAACCGGAAGGAGGTGGTGTTTCAAATAATGCATCCCCGTGTATTGAAGAGTTCTATGGATTATTACATGCACCTTGAATTGAACCAGGAAGCATTCTGATGCAACTTGCAAAAGAGAATTGTAACATGCTCGGCCATTGCATTCTCCTCTTGCTGCAGCTTTCAGATGCTGTTCAAAGGTAGTCTCATGTAAAATGTTTTCTCCTTTTAGTTGTTTTTTTTACTTTACATTCATCCAATTATATTGTTATTTAGAAGGGCATAATATAAGCTTGATAACCACCCCTAGCTCTTATGTTGGATGCAGTTAATCTGTATGACAAGATGTATACATACGAAATCTGTACTGATCAGCAACCATCTATTACTTTTTTTTGCCCTCTATAATCTCTGTATCACATTTTAAAAGCTTCTGTGACTGCTTGTCTTTGGGTTATAATATAGAGTATAAACTAACAATATGGTTCTTTAGGTAACAAAAACGTAAGTTTCAGGTTCAAAAGAGAGAAACAAACACAGTATTAGGGCTGTGCATTACTTTGAAAATAGTTTACAAAAGGTATTCTGGGGTCGGCAGAAATGCTCACATAGCTCTTGTCTGCCATTCTTTTTTAAAGTAGTTCTGTCTTTCCCAGGATCATATGGCTGCCCTTTGCAGCTGCCATGTGGAGAACTCTTTTGGAATCAATTCTAAAGCATCATATAACCCTAATGTACTTTAGGGGAAAAGATAAGAAGATAAAGAACAAAAACAGCTCCGTCATGACATGCTGACTGATGTTTAGAACAGATGAAAACTGTGTGGAAAAACACAATAAAAGATCCTAGAAATTGGGCATTGCTACAAGGCTAGAATTTTGAATAGAAACATTGTATTATATGTTGCAACATTTTATTGCAGATTCCTCCACAATAGATTGAATTTTCATTTTAACATCTCTTTTTGGGAAAATTAAACAATAGCGGCATATAATATTTTTTTTGCTGATTTTTTTTTTAGAGGAAGCGAAACAGTTGGTATAAAAACTTTTTTCATTTTGCTGCTTTATAATAATTGTACTAATGATCATACACGAATATGGATCTTCAGGTTTATGGATCTTAATCATAATTCATGTTTAGGAGGCAAGATAACTTTGAGTAATTCTACTTCTGCTTTTCCTGCTAATAAAGTTGAAAGACTGTATTAAGTGATTGTATTAATGGAGGGCCATCAACATATGTATACTTATGATTAATGGGTAGATGCAAGCCAGGAAAGATCCTGCAAAGTTTACCATCTTCGTCCTGTGAAGAAGAAGCCTAACTTGAGACTTTATTCAAACTGAGCTGCCTTTTTGATGAATGCTTTTTGTAAGATTTGATTGAG